TCCCTTATTCTAGCAAATTTGTTCAAAGAAACCTTTGATAGTTTTATTTACACAGAGCCTGACGATGGAAAAAGTTTCCTCAAAACACACACCTTCTCCAAACTCAAAAACATCTGTAGGCTGACTCATTAATAACACATGGTTCTTTTGTTGTAAGCAACTGTGGACTTTCCCAGAAGTCTGTTCTGAGCGCGATTGTGAATACTCAGAGAAATAAACAACTTTCAAAACACAGAACATCTTAAAACAGAACTGAGCTACAGAGCTGAAATAGCATATTTAGTGGTGGGGATTTTCAGTGACTTTTTCTTCAAGCCACAAGTGACTGTCTTCATGAGTGAGTCGCTTCAAACTTTCACAAAACCAATTCATTTACACTGGACCTGTCCCAATGCCCACTTGCAGTCTTCACTATTTGAGAGTGAATTAATTAGATATCATTAGGTAGTATAAGCATAATGTGCTGCACATTTTATTGGTGCAGAGATGAGTATGTGTATTTTTTTAAATGTTTGCCACTGCTTTTTAACACCCGTAATTGCAAGCATTGCAATTACTAAATTGTGGCATCTGTTATAGGGACTATTGAAAGGAATAGTTCACCTAAAAATGTAAATTTGCTGAAAACTTTCTCACTCTGGGGCCATCCAAGATGTAGATGACTTCATTTTTCAAAAGTAAAATGCTGGACAGTGAAATAGCACGACTGTCTTTAACTGAAAATGTATTAATATTTAGTAGCCTATTAGCACAAGTTATATTATCTCAGCTTTAATATGATAAATTAATCAAAATAATTTCTTATTTAGTCAAATTAATATTCATCAAAACCTGGTTATGATTGAACAGTTTGAAAGGCACTGAAAACCAGCCTGTCAGGAAAATAAAGTATGTAACATCTTTTTTTTTTTTACTTGGACAAATGAATACATGGTGCACATAAATATACAGAAGTTAAATCACTGACACAGAATGTCAAAAAAAGCTTGTGTCAAATTAAAATAGCAGAAAGATCAAACTTATGTAATTATATTTACTTTTCACAATTACAGTATTATAAATACAGTGCTGACTAATATTGCTTATAATACTGACCACAGTCAAAGTGATTATTTACCTCAACATTAATTATTCACTGTTAAATAGCAATTTCAGTAGTAATTAACAAGTATTCTTGATCAGGTAAAAAATCTGGCAATGATCTAACCACAAGTCGGGATATTGAGAAACTAATTCTTGATAATCAATGATGTGTGATCAATGACAGAAAAAAATGACAAAAATGGGGTAGAAGGTATTCATAACATCTTGTACTCAATTCAGTTTGGTGGCGGATCACGGGAAAATGTGGGCTTTCTAAAGGATGATGGCAAACACGCTGTGAACGGAGGTCGGTTGAGTCACAGAAGTGTGCTGGGTTTCCATCTCGCGGTGAATCGCTGATTGTGTTTCAGTAGCAGTAATCGATTTCCTCGTTGACCAGAACAATAGCAGTTCTGCAGGGAATGTAAACCTGAGAGAGTGGAAGAGCCAAAGACAGAATGAGATCAAAGGGACTCAGCATTTGTTCGAGGCAGTGTAGCACATTCTGAAACAATGCATAACACAAAAAAGTGTAAATGTCTAAAGTACTGTGGAATGTGAAAATAAGTTTCATGCGAAAGATAGACCAGTTATTCTTTTCACATTCATGGCTTCACAGAAATGTGCAGAATGGCTGTAAATTAGGAAAGGAAAGGCTAAATATTTAATAAATGTACATGGAGATCCAATGTGCAATTTCTGTGATTGAATTCATTATCATTAATTCAATAAAAAAATAAACAATATATTAATAAATTTAAAAAAGTAAAGCAGAAAGAACAAAATGGGAAAGAGAAAACACTATTCCATGCAAACTTAAAGGGATAGTTCACTCCAAAATGAAAATTCTGTCATGAATTACTCACCTTCGTGTCATTTTAAACCCGTAAGACCTTCGTTCACCTTCGGAACACAATTTAAGATATTTTTGATGAAATCCGAGAGCTTTCTGACCCTGCACAGACAGCAACGGAACTACCACGATCAAGGTCCAGAAAGGTAGTAAGGACATCGTAAAAATAGTCCATGTGAAATCAGTGGCTCAACCGTAATTTAATGAAGTTACTCTAATGAAAATGCCATTGGTCAGGATGAAAGGTACGATTAAGCACAACGTCCTCCTTCAAATTCACAATGGTCCTTGTGGAAGAGGCAGATATTTATGCAAAGTGGCCCTCTCAAAGCTTTTAGCATTACAGCGATCGATTTTAAGCCCTTTTGGTGTTACATAAAGGTAAATGAGGTGTTCAGAACTTGTGTTGAACTGATGGGTTTGGAATATGAATGTTTTCTCATGCTCAGCCAACAAAATATAAAACTGACCATATGGTTGAGCAGTTAACATAAGGCCCTTTGCAACAGAAAGTGATCAAACGGCTGGTATTATACACTGATTACAATGGAAACCCATTCCCACCTCTAAGTTAAAAAAAAGGTTAATAGCTATATATCCTAATTGCGAGTTTGTTTCTTGTAGTTGACTTTATATTTCTCAGTAAGACTTTGATTTGAAATGTTACTTTGTTTCTCACATTTTTTTCTGTCTTTCACATTGCGACTTTGTTTCTCGTAATTGAGATTTTTTATCTCTCAGTGTGACTTTATATTTTTGATTTGATTTGATATTTTGCCATTGCTACTTTGTTTCTCATATTTGCATTTATATTTCTCATTTTGTGACTTTGTTTCTTGTAATTGAGTCTTGATCTCTCAGTGTGACTTTTTTTTTTATCTCGCAATGTGGCTTTATATCTCTGAATGTGACTATTTCGCTATTGCAAACTTTTTCTCATATTAGCTTTTTTATATCTCACATTGGAGCTTTGCTTCTAGTAACTGAGAATTTATATCCATCACTGACTTTACAGTACATCTCACCATTAATTTGACAATATTTCACAATTGTGATCTCTCTCTCTCTCTCACACACACACACACAATCTGACTTTGTGACTGCTTCCCATAATTAAGACTATTTTTCAGTGTAACTTTATCTCTTGTTTTTATATCTCACAATTGAGACTTTTTATCTCAGTGTGATGTTATATCTCACAATGCAACTTTATATTTAGACTTTTTCTAACTTTCATATTTTTATATGATGCAATTGAGACTTTGTTTCTCATAGTTGATATTTGTAGCTGAATGTGAATGTGAATCTCTGAATGTGACTTTATATTTCATAATTTAGACTTCATATATAGTGTGACTTTACATTTTGCAATTGTGACTTTATATCTTAGAATTGCAGAATTATCTACTTTGTTCCTCATATTTGCTATTTTATATCTTTGCAACTTCGTTTCTTGTAATTGAGAACTTTTGTCTCTCAGTGTGATTATATCCTGCAATGTGACTATATTGCACAATTGTGACTTTTTCTCATAATTGCATTTTCATATCTTACAATTGAGACTTTTTTTTATCTCACAGTGTGGCTTTACATCTCTTAGTGTGACTATATTTCATAATTTAGACTTCATATATAGTGTGACTTTACATTTCGCAATTGTAACTGTTTCTCGTATTTGTGACTTTATATCTCGCAATGTGTTTTTTTCCCTTGCAATGTCAGTATATTGGGGTTTAATATCTCTCATTGTGACGATATGTTGTGAAGTGACTTCACAACTGCAACTTTTTTATTTCTCATAACTGGGACTTTATATCTCACAATGTGAGCATATCTTGTGATATCATTTTATATATTGTGACAATTTCTTTCAACTGCAATTTTTTTCTAACTTTTTCCTCACAATTCCTTTTCACTCTGAGGCAGAAAAAGGTTTCTATAGATTACAACAAGAAATATTATTCAAAATAAACATGCATTTGTGAGTTACATAACACTTTAATTGAGTTAGCTATCAAGGGCCTTGACTAAGTATATCAATGTGTGAGGATGTGGTTTGTTGTCTGTTTCCGAGCACTTTAAAGACTTGATCTGTTAATCTCAGTGATAAAGATGTCACTGTCACTGACAAAGCTTTTTTAAACATCTCTTTATACAATCACTGCATTAAGCCGACAAGCTCTCAGTGCAAATTTGCCTGAGATCAATGGGTGTGAAAGCACACAGATCCTGAATAACAGGAAAATATCTACCTTAGAAGCATTACGAGTTGCATATACATCTCATAATCAAAGGGATAGTTCTGGTCCTGGCTTCTGATTGGTCAATACAGCGATTCAGTCATGATCAAATCTACGATATAGTAACAACTGCGATGAGATACATTTCATCACATCACTGCATGGCACCTGTGGAGTATTATGTTTGTTCAGCTCAATCTCACAGGAAAATGTTATTATTTTATGAGGTGTGGTGTTTTTGGATAAAAGATGTGAATTGTACGAAAACATATGCATTTTAGTATGAAAATACACATAACTGTCACTAGAGTGTAAGCAGATTGTATGAATTCATACGAATTAGCCACCAATTTGTCAAAAAGTAAAATAGTTACACATTTCCATGAGATTGTGTTGGTTTGTTGGATATCAAAACTGTTAAATGAGGGACTATATCTTCTGGTGAAAGGATACATTAATGAATATGTATGAAAAATAGCGTTGTCATTATTTAAAGCAGCATTTAAATTAGATTTACCTTTTGCTTTTAAAATCAGTTAAGACTTTTAAGCGAAACCAACCAGATTCAAGAGACAAATCCTTTTTAATTCAAAGCAAGAACGAAATAGCTATAACTGAATCACCAGTAATGGTACAATATGAAAATATATTTGACTAGTGTATCGTAAAGTGAGATTTACTCGATTATGACATATGGGTGGTCATTTTTAAGGTTTTTTTCATGGTAACAGCAACTTAAAATGCTAAAGACATTGAGAATAGGATGCGATTTGACTTAAAAAAACTCTTGTTTAGTTCTAGAAGAGCAAAGAACAAGCAAAGTCTTTCTTTCAGAAGTAGTTTATTTCATTTTATTATGGCTTCCACACACAAACTTTGCACACAAATATTTGTTGACCATCACAAGGACCTTCCAAACTTATGAATCGGACTGTTTTAATGCATTATTTTTATGCGATATTAAATGCGTTTAATATTTTCATAATAACCAAATGAAGCAGTGAGGATGAATCTTCATTCAAGATGGTTTCTGGAAAGCCGTTTCTCGACAGATTATGCTACCAAATACTGTATATCTATGTGAGCATCAAATCCATTGAGGGCAAATTTAGATTTCTTCGAACCACAAAACAAGAAGACCGGAGAAAATGAGCAACAGATGTGTCCAATGATGTCTTGAGGAGAGCAGTTTCAGGATTATAATAATTTGGATATATATTTTCACACACAGACTTTTGGCTCTCAGGGATAAGCTGTTGTTGTTGTATATTATAAAAGATGCTTAAAAAGTAAAATGCTGGACAGTGAAATAGCACGACTGTCTTTAACTGAAAATGTATTAATATTTAGTAGCCTATTAGCACAAGTTATATTATCTCAGCTTTAATATGATAAATTAATCAAAATAATTTCTTATTTAGTCAAATTAATATTCATCAAAACCTGGTTATGATTGAACAGTTTGAAAGGCACTGAAAACCAGCCTGTCAGGAAAATAAAGTATGTAACATCTTTTTTTTTTTTACTTGGACAAATGAATACATGGTGCACATAAATATACAGAAGTTAAATCACTGACACAGAATGTCAAAAAAAGCTTGTGTCAAATTAAAATAGCAGAAAGATCAAACTTATGTAATTATATTTACTTTTCACAATTACAGTATTATAAATACAGTGCTGACTAATATTGCTTATAATACTGACCACAGTCAAAGTGATTATTTAACCTCAACATTAATTATTCACTGTTAAATAGCAATTTCAGTAGTAATTAACAAGTATTCTTGATCAGGTAAAAAATCTGGCAATGATCTAACCACAAGTCGGGATATTGAGAAACTAATTCTTGATAATCAATGATGTGTGATCAATGACAGAAAAAAATGACAAAAATGGGGTAGAAGGTATTCATAACATCTTGTACTCAATTCTCGGGAAAACGTGGGCTTTCTAAAGGATGATGGCAAACACGCTGTGAACGGAGGTCGGTTGAGTCACAGAAGTGTGCTGGGTTTCCATCTCGCGGTGAATCGCTGATTGTGTTTCAGTAGCAGTAATCGATTTCCTCGTTGACCAGAACAATAGCAGTTCTGCAGGGAATGTAAACCTGAGAGAGTGGAAGAGCCAAAGACAGAATGAGATCAAAGGGACTCAGCATTTGTTCGAGGCAGTGTAGCACATTCTGAAACAATGCATAACACAAAAAAGTGTAAATGTCTAAAGTACTGTGGAATGTGAAAATAAGTTTCATGCGAAAGATAGACCAGTTATTCTTTTCACATTCATGGCTTCACAGAAATGTGCAGAATGGCTGTAAATTAGGAAAGGAAAGGCTAAATATTTAATAAATGTACATGGAGATCCAATGTGCAATTTCTGTGATTGAATTCATTATCATTAATTCAATAAAAAAATAAACAATATATTAATAAATTTAAAAAAGTAAAGCAGAAAGAACAAAATGGGAAAGAGAAAACACTATTCCATGCAAACTTAAAGGGATAGTTCACTCCAAAATGAAAATTCTGTCATGAATTACTCACCTTCGTGTCATTTTAAACCCGTAAGACCTTTGTTCACCTTCGGAACACAATTTAAGATATTTTTGATAAAATCCGAGAGCTTTCTGACCCGGCACAGACAGCAACGGAACCACCACGATCAAGGTCCAGAAAGGTAGTAAGGACATCGTAAAAATAGTCCATGTGAAATCAGTGGCTCAACCGTAATTTAATGAAGTTACGAGAATACTTTTTGTGTGCAAAGAAAACACAAATAACGACTTTATTCAACGATTTCTTCTCTTCCGTGTCAGTCTTTGACGCGCGTTCACGACAGTACCACGACACATATGTGTGAAGCTGCTGACGCAGGAGCCGGTGTTCTGATGTAGAACGTTCATCTCTCTTAGTTCATCGTCTGCATATTCGATAAAGAGTTGGAATAAGTAAGGCTGGGTGTAACGAGAGGGGCGGGGCCGAGAGCCGTGGGAACAGAGCGAGGCCGGTGGAGTAATTGCGAATGCGCGACAGCCCCTCGCGGACGACTGCCGCGCACAAACGAAACCAAAACCCCAAAATAAACTCCAGGCCTGGTCCTCTCTCCTCTTTCCCTGTCGTCACTCCTCCTTTGTATCCTTTCCGGAGCTCCTCCGTGAGACTCGAGACCGGTGAGTGGCGCAGGTGTCGCGCATTCGCAATTACTCCACCGGCCTCGCTCTGTTCCCACGGCTCTCGGCCCCACCCCTCTCGTTACACTGGGCAAAAAATTGCAAGTCATCCACTCTGTTGAAATGTTCAGACATGCTTACGAAGGCTGTTTTATGTACAGCATGCGTCTTCCTCTGCTCGTAAACAAGGTGCAGCGCATGCGTGTTTTACGTCAGAATGCCGGCTCCTGCGTCAGCAGCACCACACGCAAGCACTGTAGTAATCTCGTGAAAGCGGAAGACATACGGAAGAGAAGAAATTGTTGAATAAAGTCTTTATTTATTTAGTTTTCTTTGCGCACAAAAAAAAAAAGAACATCTTCATAAAATTACGGTTGAACCACTCGTGTCACATGGACTATTTTTACGATGTCGTTACTATCTTTCTGGGCGTTGAATGTGGTAGTTCCGTTGCTGTCTCTGCAGGGTCAGAAAGCTCTCGGATTTCATCAAAAATGTCTTAATTTGTGCTTCGAAGGTGAACAAAGGTCTTACAGGTTTGGAATGACATGAGGGTGAGTAATTAACGACAGAATTTTCATTTTTAGGTGAACTATCCCTTTAAATATCGCGAAATAAGACTTGATCCCAATTGAGCTGTACATTCAAAATGAAAAGATTTTACATTTTTATTTTAAGATTAACAGTTCTTCACTTTCTGAGCTGACATGTTACAGAGTAAAATGCTTTTAGAAGATATAAGCTTTCAAAGCTTGCAGTTCGTCACTTCCGCCAAAATGGCTCAACTATTTTTTTTGACGTCAAATCGTACTTCAGCTTCTCATCAAACTTTGTCCAATCAAATGCTCTCTAGAATCCGAAGCGCCCGCCCCCTACACTATAAAATAGACGCTGAAGCCGCGGCTGAAATCGGTCACTTGTCTACAGAATTAGTATTTTCTGTACAGTGAATGGCACGTAGTGCACTATATAGGGGACAGGGAACGATTCAAACAGTGTAAATATGCTTTCCATTGAGGAAAAAAAGTAGTCTGGTTTCGCGCTGTGTCACGCTAACCACCACACCACACACACTCTGCTCTGGTCCAGAGCCACGGTAGCACGGAGCTGATCACATGCACGAGTCGGCACAGGCCACAAAATGTATCGGAGCTATTTGAATTCTACACAGAATGCTATATTTTATAGCAATATGGATGAGATTGTGGCTGGCATACCCTGCCAAATGCGGCTTTACGGAGCTCAACGGCTCTGAACGGCTCTAGCCCAAGCTGTGATATAAATGAACGCTATTGGCTATTTTAAAAAGGGGCGGGGCTTCTTGATATGTCCCGCCCTGTCTTCCTGTTTCAGTTAAAATGACGTCAACACATAGAGTAACCCTGCATGTTTCAAAGCATTTGAGATATATCCAGCTGCAGACCCGCAGCACCAGCAGTTTCAGAACCGCAGCCACAGAACCGGAAGTGAGGGGCGGAGTTATTGACAACGAGAGAGCACGGTGAGTATTCTGTAATGTTTTTGCTATCATATGTTTGATATTTATCGTATATATTACGTTAAGCATTTATCTGCTAAGTACTTAATGTGTGCTTGGCTTTATTATCTTATATTGAAACTTGAATTTGTTGTCATACTTTATAGTATATAACTTTTTTCGATTAATTTTCAGATGCATGCTGTAAATGGGCCTTGTGGTGAAGTTTTGAAGACGTTTATTATTCATAAAAATAAATAGTTTGCTTTAATTCCCTCTGTTATATGGATTGTTTGTGTGTTAATATTACCTTGTAGTTGAGTTATTTTAATCCCATTTGTAATCATTGAGATAATTGTGTGTGTCTTCATCTCTTGTAGAGA